TTAAAGATTAAATCGCTTATATTTGAATTTTTTATATTAAATTATTGAATCATAAAATTAATCATAACAACAAACTATGTAGTCTTTCGATTATATTGATTATATAATAAATGATTTAAATCAGCTTTAAAATGATTTAAATCAAACATCAGTGATTTATAATAAAATAATTTAAATCATCTGCTATTCCTACCTTTAACTATACATATAATGAGTGATTCTGTAATTGATAATTCTAATAAAAATTTAACATATTGTATTATCACAATGGTTTGTAAGTTCTGTGTCAGAATTTTTTATAGTAAATCACAATAGAAACTACAATAATTCTAATACAAACTAATTCTTTATTTAACCACATATAGTTATTAGTACAATAGTAAATAGATTTTGTAACAATTTTTTTCTACTAACCAACTCAACAATATAATGTATATTGTTATAATAGTCTGTAAGTTCTGTAGTAGAATGTTTTCTAATAAATCACAATAAAAAATCATAATAATTCTAATATACCTTTACTATATATAGTGTATCACTATAATAATAAATAAGTTTGTAACTGAATTAATTACAATATGATACAAACTAATTTCACAACATACTGTTATTATTGCAATAGTTTGTAAGTTTTGTGATAAAGTTTTGTATTGTAAATCATAATAAAACTATGATAATTCTGATACAAACTAATTTTATTTTTAATTGTTTGGAACGAAGTGATAGACTATTTATTTTTATATATTGTAATACAAAATTTACTTTTTTGATGTATTATATATTAAAATATCAAAAAAGTAACTTTGTATTTTTCGTCTGTTCACTCACATGATTTAGGGTTATACAAAAATTTTAGGCTTATCCTACACCCTATATATTGTTAATCTATAAAAAAAGTAGAGTTTTTTTTGGTGCTATATTAAAAATAGAGTTATTTTTTTGAACTTTATTTTTTATTCTGTACTCTATATATCGGGAAATTTTATATAGAGATATATATCGATTGATAATCCACTAGATACATATCGATACAAATCACCCTGCCGGGTTTATCGATTGTGGTATGTAACGATATATAACCAGTTTTAAGGCAATCGATATAAATTAATATAGATATTAATCAATATATAACAGGTTTAAACAAGTTTTTTTTTAATAAATGATAGTACTAAAAATACTAGTGCAAATCAAAATTTATATTATATATAATTTTTTACAAAACATTATATACTAGTATATTTATTATAAAGCACTATATAAGCATATTAAGCATAAATATATTTTCATGCTATATATAACGCAAATATTACAGATTATGAATATAATACATATTGCTATAAATCGCTATCAAATACAACTAATTCAAAAAAAATATATTTAAAACAAAAAACTAATTGTAACCAAATAATTCATCAGCATCTTCTTGGGAAAGACATTGAGATGAAAATAAATCAGCTTGTTGAGATACTGAAGGTTCAGCTTCAGGTTCAGTTTCATACTGAGGTGACGCTTGTTGAGAACTAGTATCACGACGCGTATTTTCATTGTTAAGTATAAATTCGACTGAATCGTACGATGGACCACCATTACCAAAATCGGTCTATATTAACAATAATAAAAAATAATAATTAATAATAATTAATAGTAATACTAATTAATAATAATAATACTTACAAGGTATTTTTTAATACGACGCATAAAGCATTTTTCTGTACACGTGATGCTTTTGGACCAGGGATTTAGTAAAAGATCACAAACTATGAGCGTAAAGGCGCAGTGCTTATAGGAGAGTTCAGGTACAGCAACCTCAGAGAAGGCCAACATCACGATTATAGATATCCAAAAAATATCGTCATTGTTCATTTTGAATAGTGCACGAAAACAATCATGAACTTTTTCACTTTGTTTCCAACTTAGAATATCAGCTGATATAGCGTTTTTCTTTAACAGTAGTAATCGTTCGTACCCGAATACGCGCCATACTGCTGCCCTTATATTTTGAACTAACGCATCTCGAAGGTTCTTCATTTTTTTGCATCAGCTATTGCCAAAAATAATAAAAAATCAAAAGTAAATGAAGTATAAATATTAAAAAAAATAAATAAATAAAAAATGATAGCTATTGATACATATAGGGCTGAACCATTCTCTATAAAACCTATTAGTATATTGGTTGGAACTTAGATTATGCATAAAATCAGAAAACTTCACTTCAAGACATTGTCGAAGAGCATTCTTCAAATCAGCTTAGCAGAGATATATATGGCTCGGGAAGAGCCGCTTAATCACACAAATAAACACGTCCTATAATATATATATTTTTTTACCTTTCAGCACAACTCAATACGTTATATACCGCTAGAACCTAAATTTACAATAGCAGATTTGTTGCAAAGATATTAAAAAAAAGAAAACACTTACATCCATCACTTGTGTGAAGAGATCATTCTCTCATTCATCATGTTGCCTTTCTATTGCTCTAGCCTGGTCTTTATTTCATTTAAACTTGCCTCAAGCTTCTTAAGCATCAAGTATAACTGCTTTTGTTAAACGAATATTCGCTCATCAACTTGCTGCCAGTAATTGTAACGATTGTTTGCTTAATTATATATAGTAAAAAAAAAAAAAAAAGAATCTGAATCTAAAAATTGTCAAAAAAAAATAAAAAAAAAAGCCTTATATATGACTATGTCGATTATGTGTACGATTTTGATTTTCTGATCTTCTATTGCTATCATGTGATAGAGATCTATCTCGTGATCATTATCGTGTAGAATGTCATTGAGGTGGAGATAATGATTGATCATGATTACTATAGCGAGATGTAGGGCAAGATCTAGATCCATGGTGAGATCTAGATTCATGGTGAGTTGTAGATTCAGTTTAAGAAGTGGAGAAAGGCTGGTGAGATACAGATCCACAATGAGATCTTGATTCATGGTAGGTTGTAGGTTCGGTTTGAGAATTGGAGAAAGGCTGGTAAGATACAGAGCCACGACAGGATCTAGATTCATGGTAGATTGTAGGTTTATTTTGAGAAGTGGAGGAAGGCTGGTGAGATACAGATCCATGACATGAGTGGATAGAAAATGGTTAGCGTGATTGATATCGACCGCTTATATTTGAAAACATTTATTAAATACTTCTAATGCTTCTAAAGGTTGAATCAGAAGAAGAACCATCATCATTAGGATTGAGTAGTTGATGAGGTTTAGCAATATTATTATTATCAGGGTTTAAAAGTCAAGAGATATTGAATTGGGAATAAGAAACAGGTTTTGCAAGATATGGTGGTGTATTATTTCTGGTTCTGTTTTCCATTATCAAAATTCATTTATCAAAAATTTTTTTATCATACCTTTTGTGTTAAGCCTGTGTATTTATATTTAATAAAACTATTGTACAAGAAGAAAACAAATTAATATTTAACGATATCAACCACTTATGATAAAAGAAGATATAATAACACAAGAATACTTATTTATATAAAATTTACTTGCGTAATTAAATTTAAAGTATAATAACGTAAGAATACTTATTTATATAAAAATTTACATGTGTCATTAAATATAAAGTATCTGGAATTTAAAAAATTGTTTTAGAAAATTAATTACCGATATTGTGATTTTATTCTCTCCGTTAATAATTGAGATCGAGACTGCTTTTAGGAAGAGATAGAACTGGTCGAACTATCCCTATTTATAGTGTGTAGTTCAAATAAGTTACACAATACTACTAGCTTTATACAAAATTATACTTGCTATAATATCGATATATATGAACTATAAATATTTGTATATAGTGTGTAGTTCAAATAAGTTATACAATACTACTAGCTTTATACAAAATTATGCTTGCTATAATATCGATATATATCGAACTATAGTGTGTAGTTCAGATAAGTTACACAATACTACTAGCTTTATATAAAATTATGCTTGCTATAATATCAATATATATCAAACTATAAATATTTGTATATGTACTATTATTTTTAATAAGGTATTTAGGAAGGCTAATCCAAACTGGTATCAGGACGGAGACTAGTTAACTATAAGATCGGTTAAAAAGACCAGTCTATCCAGGACCAATCTGTCCCTAATATTAAATATAAACTTTATTACTATATCTATATGTACTATTATTTTATCGCTATTGTTTCTATATTATGTTAGATATTGATTACTAGTATATTTATAAATCACTTTGGTTCGTTTGTAATTAATAATTATAACAAAAAGAACTCTTGATGATATTCTATTTCTGTAGAACATTCATAACTTTAATATTTTGAACAAAAATGACAAGTTGCGCTATGATTGCTAATAACATTACTTGCAATTTATAGAGGTTGATTTATCGATATGTATCGATCATATTAAAAGTTTGAGATTTTAATATAATAAAAATAATTTACTAGTTTAAATAGATTATAATATATCAATGACAATTTTTGTAATTAAATTAATTAAAATATAAAGTTTATTTTGTTTAGTGTATTATGTCATCAAAACATTATTCGATAAATTGTTTAATCGAAAACAAATTTATTCATTAGATATATATATATTCGTTTTAATCGATATATATCGCTTTAGATTCACATAATTCATATTCATTTTTATTAAACTCCAGTTTATTTTTTTTATATCTAAAAATCTATTATTTTTGTACTAATCGATATATATCGCTTTAACAATTTAGTTATTTATATAACTTCTAATTGCTTTAAACTAATTTCTTTTCATTATTCGATCTCTCTTATTTTATTTTTTTTATTGGTTTTTTTTATTTATATCTTTTTTTTTCTCTTTTCAAATGCGTTAGTTGTATGAGTATTGCAAACGAGAGTTTTCAAAACCTTATGTTTTAACACAACATATTTCGCAAAAACACCTTTATAGCCAAGATGATACAAATCAAATTGTTTCTATTGAGCAATTTGATGATTCTATCTGGCAACTTCCGGATTATAACGATTATAGTTCAAGTGATGAATATTCTACAGATTATGAAGTAATTTATAAGTTTATTATAGATAAAGTAATGCCCATAGTAAAAGTGAGAATAGAACTATATATTATATAGTCCCATCCCCACTTTTTGCTATAGGCATTACCATATAACAATTATTAACAAATGCTAAAGATTTGTTTATTTATAGAATAAAAGTATATCATTTCAGTCTGAATTAGGTTCAGATAATTCTGATATTATGGAAACAGAATCATTAGCAAATGATAGTTATTTTATAGATTATGAGCTATCTCAAGAAGCATCGACTAATGTTGATCCTGAAGATTTTGAAGGTGTTTCATTTGATAATGCATTTCATGACTTAGAACATATCCAAACTATTGAATAGCCTAGCAATGCATATCAAGAGTTTATGGATATAATCAATAAGTATCAACTATTAAATTCAGCCGGTGATATTATAATAAATTTTTTCAACAAGTTTTCCAACATAGATGTTTCACTATTACCCTCATCAACAAAAATTGGAAAGGAATTTCTTGATAATTCTACCGCCTCTTATGCAATGTTTAAAGAAATTCCAATCAAAACATTTCAAAATGTTAATTATATGTTTTATTATCAGTCATTGATTAAAGCAATTAAATCATTAATATCGATTGATAGTGTAAATCAATCATTAGTATTTCATTATACAGAAAAATATGAAACAATAAATAATTCTAGACATCAGGTCTTTGAAGAACAATATAACTTTCATTGGTGGAAATATGACGAATCTAATTTACTTGTTGGGCAATGATTATTAGCAATTATCCTTTATTCTGATGCATCTACCTTAGATCATCATTAGCAAAAAATCTAGGCTGATATATATCAATCAATATCTATATGGATATATATTGATAATAATCCCTCTGTTTGGTTCTATCGATTGTAATAGTAATCGATATATATCCGGTTAATATTCAATCGATAATTATCGATTATGCTAATTATC